TCTTTCTCTTTTTATGAGGAAGGGCGACAAAAAAGGACAACTGGTCATAGCGAAGTATAAGAGAGTAAGTGTGAGGGGAGAGAGAGAGAGAGAGAGAGAGAGAGAGAGAGAGAGGGAGAGAGAGAGAGAGAGAGAGAAACTGACCTTGAGCCGCCGCTCCTTTGTTGCCGATCAGATAACAGGTGAGGGGACGACGCTAGAGCCACCTACTGCTAGACACAGAAGATCTGATCTGTGCGAGAGAGAGAGAGAGAGAGAGAGAGAGAGAGAGAGAGGGAGGAAAAGCAGCACAAAGCGAGTGGGGGTGAGAGAAATGGAGTAGTAGACAGGGTGAGCTCTGTGGGGGTAGAAAGAGTGACCGAGAAAGGAGACACAAGCTACTGTCGGATCCAAACGAGGGAGAGAGACGGAGGGAGCACCACGACAGAACGCGGGTCACGAGTACTGAAAGCGGCATGAGTCGAAACTTTTCCCGACTTCTTTTCGCAAGCGCCAGCCCCACCACCAGCCCGGCTACCCCGCCCTTCCCGCAAAGGGCGGGTCCAGTTAGGTCGACTGTAAGATAATTCACGCTGTAAGGAATTTTTAGCAACCACCCGCTCCCCCTCCCCCTTCTGCTCCCGCTGCGTCTTCTCCCGCCCATTCAACTCGCAGGATCAGATTCTACTTCTACATCCCTAGGCCGGGCGGACGCTGAAACAATGGCGAAAGTATGGCCTAATCATGATGGTGGTCGAGCAGCGAGAAAGGATGAGGAATGAAAGAAGAGGGGGAAAAAACTCAAACTTTAGGCAGCGGCGGGCAGCGGCTTGCTTAAGGCTTGCCACTGCAAGAATAGAAGCCCGTTTACACTGCTGACAGAAGTTAGTGACTATGAACCCTTTAGTGAAAGTTTCCACTTCTTAAGTTTTTATAAAAGTCACACAAAATAATGTGTGGAAGCTTTTCCAGGTAATTTAAAATATTACAGTGCTAATTGTTTCATATTCAAAAATCTTAAGAGCTTCGTCAACATCTATGCGTTGCACCATTATGGTATCGCAGTCCATCAGAAATGGGCGTTTGGGAAGGAATGAGCCAATTTTCCAATTCTTGTAAGGGTTATGCTGGAAAATTTTCCAAATGGTCGCAGTGTTGTAAAATTACAACTTAAATTAGTAAAATTTACGAGCACTATGGGTCGACATAGAATAGATTGGCGAGCAAGAATGTGCTGTCATAAATTTTACAGCATACATTCTGTAAATCAAAAATAATACAAAATATGCTGTAAATTTACTAAGATTATTTTTTTCGCAGTGTTCAAAAGACTCACCGCTGCCGCTGGTGCGGCTGGCGCCGCTGGTCGCGGCCTTCCTGACGGGCGCGGGCTTGGGCGCGCCCTCGCTGACGAGGAGGACGCTGGCGCTGCGCTGCCGGTACACCGAGTACAGGCTGGCCTGGCAGCCCAGGACCATCTTGTTGCGGTCGCCGGTGATGCGCAGCGTGGCGCGCAGCGTCTGCAGCCGCTCGTCGTCCAGCCCGGCCGCGTGCTCGTGCAGCACCGACTCGTCGAAGTCCCCCACCAGGTTGGACAGCTGGAGGCAAAGAGACAAAACGGTTCGTTATTGCAACCGACCGGAAAATTTGCACCCTGAACAGATTTGAAATGTAAACATGGTCCAGAAACATTTCGTCAACGTACAATGTACTTTTATAGAATGTCATATGTAATCACATATTTCCGAATAATATGTACAATGCAAAGTAAAAGAAAAAGCTTCAAAAAAAAAATAACTGCAATACTTGGATGCAGATAAAATGAGTAAACTACCAAGTTCAGCATCTGCAAGCTCTATAGCGCCTAGTAGGTAGGCAACAACTGGCCTGCAGAGCATGCGTGTACTGCGGGTTGGCCTACCCCGCTTCTCGCAGGCGCCGAGCTCTCGTAATTTGTCAAATGATTCTCAAAAAGGGGAAGTATTCTCTGGACGACCCCGAACCCAGTTTTTGTTGCCGTAGGTTTGTTAAACAAAACCGAAAACAAACGAGAGTGACAAATGTTAATTGAAAAACAAACGACACGTTTCAGGATGCATTTGACTTTTTTCAAGGTAGGTCGAAATTTCTGGTCACCGGGAACCGCCTGGCCTCAAATTTTCCTGGGATTTTCTCGCTTTTGTTGCGTGGCTCGGCTGCGGTCCGCTTGTTCGGCGGGGTCCGCCCGGCTGGCCGTGGCCGTATTGTGCGCGGCGGCATCGATGGCACATAAATCATGCACCCAGATTACCTCGACTGATCGAGAGAGAAGGAGGGAAAAGGAGGCAGAAGACGCCGTTAGAAATGAAGGAGGGAAATATCATGTTTGTCAAAAAACAATAAAAGCAACACAGGACACCTTTGAAATTTTGATGGCTTGTGGCCCGCTCATTGGCGAGAATAGCAGGAAAAGGGCAGGGGGAAATACTAAAAATTAAGAAAAAGAAATACATGGAAAAGACGCCCTAAGTAGAAAGCGCATTACGGGACAAACACGCAGGAGAGCAGAGACAGGAAGTCTTCCCGTAACGACCCTAAGCAGCTCGCCGCGACATCGTGCTGCTGCCCTGAGCCTGAGAGCGAGCGAGAGAGTGAGCGGGGAGTGCGGAGAGGGGACGAGGACAGCGGCACGACAAACAGCGCAAGCGGGCGGAAGCGGGTGGAAAGGTGGAAATAAAGACCGAGGAGAAAAGAGAAGAACGGTCAGTGGAGGCGAAACTTGGGCGCGGAGAGCGAGAAAGAGAGAGAGCGAGAGCGAGAGCGGGAAGATTCGAACCTGCAACTTAACAGAGAGGCGCGCTGCTCTAGAGGCGGCGGTGGCACCTGCTGCACGGGGCGTAACTTTGTCCCGGGGCCGGCGCGGAGGGCTCGGCGGGGGGAGCGCGCGGGGGCTGAGCGGCGGAAGTAGGTCGTGAAAAATGCTCGCGCTGAGACCCGCTTCATTCCTCAGGCAGCCTGATTCTCATTGGTTATTGAAGGCAGGCCGAGGCAGCGGGGCTGATGGATTGAGTGACAGGTAGGGATCTCCACTCCATCCACGCCTCGGTGGAGAGAGATTGAATCCCGCGCAAGGCGCCCGTGGGAGAGAAGGAGAGAGTGCGGGGGAGAGCAAGAGAGAGAGAGACAGAGAGGGAGAGAGAGGGAGGGAGAGAGAGAGAGAGAGAGAGAGAGAGAGAGAGAGAGAGAGAG